TCTCTAACAACCATAAATTTATTAAAAGGTTAATTTCTAGTAGCAAAAATATAAAAAGTATAAAAATATTCTTAAATCATTACACTTCAGACAACAGAGAATTAGCCAAACTAATAAAAGCATAAAATAAAATTTCGAAACTGGCCTTTTTTGGTTACTATAATTTAATCTTTTCAGATTATTTCAAAGAAGCAATTTTGACACATTCAAAATCTATAACTTTTTATGGAAACCATGGAGGGAGCAACTTAGACTCTATATTAATAAAAAATTTTCTAAATTTAAAACATCTAAAATTAAGTCATTTTAATCGTAGTTACCATTCAATCGAGGGAAAATTAAACTCATCTCTGTTTACAAAGATAGAATCTTTAAGCTTAGATTTATACGATGAATCATTTTTATCGAGTTTATTAGAGTTTGTGAAAAGTCATAAAGAAAATCTCAAGAAATTAGAAATTATGGGTATGGCAAACAATACAGAACACTTAAAAGAAATTCTTCGATTGATAAGCATTAATTGCCAAAATTTAGAATATTTAACTATTTTCTATCAAAATAAACTTGATCAAGAGTTGACTGAGATATTCAACAAGTGCAAGAAAATAAATTTTGTTAGATTAATTGCTTTTGATCATAACCTAAATTGTACATTTGATGGCGACAAAATAATAAAAATTTTAAATGAAGTGTTACCAAAAAAATTGAAACGCTTGGAATTTAATCAAGAAGTAACTATTTATAACAAAAAACTTCTTAATCTTTTAATCAGAAATTGGAAAGGATCTAAACTTTTTACAATAATGTCAGTTAAAGTTAACTGGTTTGAATCGAAAGTTCAAGAAACGAACAGAAAACTATCAAAAACTATAAATTCTGAAGAAAATGACTTTACGCTTGAAATTATTGAAAATAATACAAATGTACTTTATTGTAATTAAGTTTTTTGCTTCTTTTATTTGATGTTAAACTATCAATATTTAGTTGTTAATTAAAGTTTATTATTTATTATCTTGTACTGTTTTATTTCATTTCAGATAAGAAAAAAATAAAAAATGATTTTATTTTTTATCAATATTTCTTCACCACTATTATAACAAAATTATCTGTAGCATACAACAAAAAAGAATTTTTGGCTA